GAGAGGGATGGAAGGAGGGACAGGGAGAGGGATGAATGAGAGAAAAGGGGAGAGAAAGTGGCATGTGAGAGAGGGAGGAAGAGAAAGTGTGGAGAGAAGAAGAAAGGGAGAGAAGGAGGGAGAGAGAGGAGGAAGAGGACAGTCTGAGAGTGCATATGTAACAGAGAGGGAGGAAGCGAGGGAGAAAAGGAGGAGAGAGAGGAGAAGGAGTGGAGAGAGGAATGGAGAGAAGGAGGGAGAGAGGACTGGATGGAGAGAAGGAGGAGAGAGAGGAGAAGGAGTGGAGAGAGGAATGGAGAGAAGGAGGGAGAGAGGAGAAGGAGTGGAGAGAGGAATGGAGAGAAGGAGGGAGAGAGGAGGAGTGGAGAGAGGACTGGATGGAGAGAAGGAGGGAGAGAGGAGGAGTGGAGAGAAGGAGGAGAGAGAGGAGAAGGAGTGGAGAGAGGAATGGAGAGAAGGAGGAGAGAGAGGAGAAGGAGTGGAGAGAGGAATGGAGAGAAGGAGGAGAGAGAGGAGAAGGAGTGGAGAGAGGAATGGAGAGAAGGAGGGAGAGAGGACTGGATGAGAGAAGGAGGAGAGAGAGGAGAAGGAGTGGAGAGAGGAATGAAGAGAAGGAGGGAGAGAGGAGGAGAGAGAGGAGAAGGAGTGGAGAGAGGAATGGAGAGAAGGAGGGAGAGAGGACTGGATGAGAGAAGGAGGAGAGAGAGGAGAAGGAGTGGAGAGAGGAATGGAGAGAATGAGGGAGAGAGGACTGGATGGAGAGAAGGAGGAGAGAGAGGAGAAGGAGTGGAGAGAGGAATGGAGAGAAGGACGAAGAGAGAGGAGAAGGAGTGGAGAGAGGAATGGAGAGAAGGAGGGAGAGAGGAGGAGAAAGAGAGTCTGCATGTGAGAGGGTGAAGGATGAAAAAGCAGAAAGGAGGGAAAGGACAGAGAGAGAGAGAGAAAGAGAGGGAGAGGAGAGAGAAAGCATTGTGGGAGAGCACATGTGAGAGAGAAGGATGGAGAGAGAGAGGGCAGAGAGAGCAGATGAGAGAAAGAGGAAGAGAAAGAGAGGGATGGAAGGAGGGACAGAGAGAGGGATGAATGAGAGAGAAGGAGGAGAGAAAGTTGCTATGTGCGCTGTGGAAAAGCAGGGAGACAAGGAAAGATAAGAATGGGCGTAGATAAGGAGAAAGTGAGCAAGAGGAAGAAAAGAAAATGAGAAAGGAGGAGAGGGGAGGGAGAGCGAGAGAAACAGTAGGAGGGAGGGAGGGGAGGATTACTCATGGGACAGAGGAGTGAATGACGTCACTTACCGGACGAAACCCGCAGACGTATGAGGTGACAGTTTAACGCGCAGCACTGACGGACGTTTACGATTGAGTTTGATCTACGGCCACATAAACGTAAATAACAAACATGAGAAGCTGGTCATTTTCAGCAGCACAAGTCGCGGCTCTTTTGTTTGTGGTGAGTGACACGGGTTTGAGCTGCAAAGCCTGGGAGAAGTGCACCAGAGTTTATCAGTCCAGTCATGTTTATACGATTGTCTAATACACAGGTGTCAAACATAAGGCCCGGGGGCCAGATCCGGCCCTCCAAGACTTTTAATGTGGCCCTCGACTGATTTTCTACTAAAATATTTTAATTATATTTTCTATTAAAATCTTGTTAATTTTCTGTGGTGTTTATCACAGCAGCGTCTCCAGCGTCTCTGTACGTGGCCCCTCCCACCAGAGCAGCACAAATGAAGACTTGTCTCTTTCCAAACGCTCTTAAAGGACGATCGTTTTTGACTGTTGACCGTGACACACTCATCAACAAAATGTCCAACATGAGAAAAGTGGAGCCGAGTGCAGGATTTTACAAGAAAAATTGACTTATTCCTGTTTACATACAAGTTCATGTTAAAACATTGTGTTGAAATTGAATTTTTCTTAAAGTTTCAGGTTGTTCATAATATTATAAACTTATAATAAGAAAGAGTTCATCAATTAAAAAAGATTTCTGTAATAGATTTGTGTTTCTCTGCACAAATATTTGAACTTATTGTTATTTTTGGGGTTTATATGACATGAGTTTTCTGATCCGGCCCCTTTGAGATCAAAGTCGTTTGGATACGGCCCCCGGACCAAAATGAGTTCGACACCCCTGGTCTAATACATACGCTAAACCTGCTCTACGTATTCAAGTTTGGGTCACAAAAAATGTCTAATGTCATTTTTTTATCCAAATGTGACAGCTCATTGTGTGGGCAAGTTTAAACACGTCCGAAAACATCGTTAAACTAAATACTAGGCTAAAAAAAAAACATAGAGATGTGATATTGTGTTCTCCACATCACATGATATTATCTAAACCAAGGATGGGTAATTTTATTTATTTTTTCCATGGGACCACATGAGAAACAGAAAATATTGAGAGTGCCGGGCCAAAATGCTTAACTCAATTCTGCATAATATTAATTGTATTTCTTAATAAAAAGCCGTAAATATCATTGTTTTGATGAGCTGGTCAGAGTTTATGTTATGACTACGCAATGAAAAAGTGAGGCTGCTTTACATTTTATTTAAAAAAAAAAAAAGCAATGCAGCTTTAGTCTATGCATGCAATGAGGTTCATTTGGTCTTCTGATATTTTCTGTTATTAGGTTCTTTTTTCAGACCAAGAGTTTTTTTTTCTGTCAGGTATGAAAACAAACTCTTGGTCTGAAAAAAGAACCTAACTAGAAAAGCAGTCAGAGAGCGCAGACCTCCGCCAAGGACTACAGTCCCCCTCATATTAATTGTGTTTTCCATAAATATTTGTCTTGTATCTTTCAATTTGGAATATGAAAGAGGATCCCACTGTCCATCCCTGAGTCAAATTTCATGGGGTTTGGTCAATAATTAACGGAGATATTGAGAAACAACATTTTTGGCCCCATTTACCACAATGTTAACTAAAATTTCAAAGTGATCCAGAATCCAGATTTTCTTCCGGATCACCCCCAAAATGAAATCACTTTTTCCTTTTCACATTTCCAACAAATCCTGAAAATTTCATCAAAATCGGTCCATAACTTTTTGAGTTATGTTGCTAACAGACAAACAAACAAACAAACAAACAGACAAACAGCAGCAAAAACATAACCTCCGGAGGTAATAACATGTTTATTTTGTAATTCCATATTATCTTAAAGGGGCCGATCAGAGTCAACCAAAGAGCCGTATGTGACCCAGGAGCTGGACAATGCCCATGTCTAACCTAAACTATAACTGCATTTGGTATTTCTAATTGCAGCAATTCAAATTTGATTAAATAAAAACCCAGTGCCTTGTTCCATTGAAGGTGTTTACACAAATGAGTCTTTTTTTTTTGTTTTGTTTAGTTTTTTTGTGGGTGTTCATACTTAGCCAGCCTGGCACCACCTAGTGCCTCCGCTCAATTTCATTTCTCTCAAGCGACTAGGTCAGGAATCAGAATACACTGGACAGTTTGCAAAAATCCCGGAAGTACAAGTTCGGGCACCAGCCAATCAGCAAAGAGCCAGACATTCTGTGTTGGCAACGATTCCCGAAATCAAGGATTTAAAGCCGGAACAAAGAGAATGTTTGGTGAATTTTATCAAGGAGAAAGACGTTATTGCCCTTCTTCCTACGGGATTTGGGAAAAGCTTAATATACCAGTTATCCCCGTTAGTGGTGCATTACATACGTCACAACCAAATAACAGCGATTGGTTAAATAAAAAAAGTACCCGCCAACCGTCGAGTGAACGAATTCTAACACTGCGAGGTCAGACGGTTTCCACGAAGTGAAACCGTCTGCTGAATCAGGCTCGTTCATACTTACCAAATTGATTAAAAAAATTAAGCTTGTGAAACATGTAGCCTATAAAAATATATGGTTTTTGAATTACTGATTTTTTTTCCTGGTTTGACGTGGTTTAATTCATGTTCAGTACTGGTTCAATCCTGGTTTAGATTAGATCTCCAGGTTAGAGCTACACTTCTGACACAGGCTCTAGTTTGGATCTTATGTCAGATCTGACATGATAATATATTTCAGGTTATGTCTCTTAATCGGACGTCATAGGCCTGTACTTACCTGTACAGACAGGGGGATATTTCCTAGAGATGACACTGATGGCCCTGTGATTGCTTCTTCCTCTCTTCACACACACACACTCTCACCTTTTTTCCCCCTCCTCTTGTCTCTCATCTTTCCATCTTTCATTTTGAAGGTGACGTCACTTCGGGTGCCTCTCCACGTGCGCCGGTCCAGTCAATCCGTAACCAATTCACCTAAAATAAAAAACAAAAATAATCACGGTAACGCAGCGAATTATTTTCACTCTGTAGGCCTAGATTACATTTTTATGAACAAAAATGTGCGTTTTCTTTTCACTTATTCAATCCAATTACGCGAGGCTTCCTTTTGGCTAAATCAGCGCGTAATGCGATCCCAAGCTGTTTCAATTCACTTTTCTATCTCTAAAGCTGTCAGTCTGAAAGCTGGGTGTGATTTTTCTTGAAGATGACCCGGCTGATGACGCTCCGATTGTGCGAGGCTTTCCCCCCTTTTCGGACGCGAGAGCCAGCATCCATTAACGGCGAGGCGGAGGATGGCGCACGGAGCCGGGGGGAGGGGCGTGCGCGGAGTGAATGTGCGCGGATTGATAGTAGCTGTGTGTTCCAGCACCACCACCACCACGTAGAGGAGCGGCTGTGCGAGGCTTTCAGTCAGCCAGGAGAGGCGAGGTGGAGCGGCGCCGTGTGCTTAACCAGCGAGCCATGTTGGATAGGACCACCACTGACCCTGCTCCTAGCGCCGCGGAGCCCAGCGGGTAGATGCGCACTCTCCAGGCTGACGCAGAGACGTGGGAGCCTGGGGGAAGGAGTCGGGCGGTGCCGCTGGAGCTGGAAGAGTTGGAAGTAGTGCCGCGAGTGGACACCTAGCATCGGTTGCAAAGGGAGATACACGAGACACGAGCTAAAGACGGACTGAGAAGCGAGGCGAGGACGGAGGTGGGGGGGCTAAATGGCTTCCCCGCTACCGACTTTCACCCCGCGTTTGCCGGTAACATTTCTACTTCTACACCTGGTCCTCATCGCGCCATTGTTCGCGGGGAAGGATGTAACTGTGGGGAGACGGGGAGGAGAGGACGCCGGTGGAAGGAGCCGGCAGCGCGAGGGAGCAGCGGGAGCGACACTTGCGGGGGGATGCGCGAAGCTACGCCCCAGCAGGTGCGCCTCAGAGCGGACGCGCAGAGAGGCATGCCCCGGGGCGTGGAGCCACAGCCGCGGGTCCGAGCGAGGCGCGGGGTCAGCTTTTTCACATTTTCAGCCACTTTTACTTTCCCCAGACACAGTACAAAGGACGTACCGCTGGCCACACCTCGCTACGGGCTGGGTGCGCGCCCCTGAACCGTGCACGACACCCGGAAGTGATGCGCACCAGAGGGCTCGTGAGGTGAACAGGCCTCCCCGAAACGCAGCGCTCCCCCCAGGATTCACCAAGTCACCTTTTGGCCTCTTTCCAGACGTTTCCTCTTGTTGCTCCAGCCGTGGATTCTCACCCTCAATCCACGCGTCAAAATCGGATTACAAATGTCTAAACGTGACCCCGCTCCTGAGCTGTGCCCATCCAGTTTTCCCCCCAACAAAACCGGTTCCAAGACATGTGGACAGCGAAGGAAATGCTCTTAATTGTTTGCTTTTTGGCACGCATAACGCTATCGATTTTTGCAGCATGGCAGGGGGTGTTGATGGCTTTTTGAAGGGGGGCATAGGCAGAAGAGGGGGCCCAGTGGGAGAAAGGGGGGCCAGCAGAAAAGATGAGACTGGGTGTTGGAAAAAAGCTTGCGATGCCAGAATTGTGGACAGATACAGGGCCGAAGGAAGAGTACAACTCGTCTATGGGGATTTGAATTTATCTAATTATCCGGATAATGGTTTGGAAGCTGAAAATGAGCAGAGCAGTGAGGACAGAGGAGCGGTGGCTAGTTGTTGCACGGAGGAGAGGACAGTATGGGAGGGTGGATGTTTAGCAGAGTTTATGATCCCCTGGGGAGACATTTCACTGAGGGACATCCCCATCCAATTTAGAGAAGAGAAGCCAGCTCCCAGCATCGCAAATGCCATGGATAGTCAAAGGGAAAGTGATGATTCGAGATCCAATTTATCAGTCACGGAAGAGACGGCTCCGGAGCAAAAAACAGACAGTGACTCAGAGCTTTTCCCGGCATCTTCGCAGCTTGAGAGAAGTGTTAAGTCAGCGCTAGCAGTGAGATTTTCCTCTGGCGTGAGAACGAACAGAACAACAAAAGAGCATGAATACAATTTGGATCAATTTGTGAATCTTAAAGTTCCAAATGCGGTAAAATTAAACCAGCGCAATCGTCATCGTTGTAATCACAGCGTTGAAAATGGAAAATTGGGAGACACAAAAGTCAAATCTGATCAACCAATCTTTATTTTTAGCCAGTATAATATTAACAGTAATAATAACAACAATGGGAAAGTAAAATTGGATAAACTGGCAGACGAAAACATCCATTCCCCAAATAGTCAAGATTTCAGATTAGGACAAAAATCTGTTCCTGTTGTCTTTTCGTGGAACCGACACAATTCAAATACTAACAACAACAATGACGTAAATGATCAGTCCGATTTGGAGAAGCAAGCGGTGCCGTTGGATTCTATAGAGAGCGTGAGGCAGCCAGAGAGGGAGCAGATGGGAGCTACACAGCGGAGGGAGGGACAGTGCACCGAGGGGTCCACTGCTGGTGCTGAGGCTGCTGCCGGGGTGGAGGAGAAATTACAGGTGGGGGAGGGCTGCCAGCAAAAAGCGGAAAGACGAATAACAAAGACAGAGCGAGGGAGAGGAGGCGCGGGTCGGCACAGGGGTGACTTTATTGCGGCGGGGAGGGCGGAGGAGGAGGAGGCGGCGGCGTCTGGGGAGAGCGAGCGGAGGCACGGTTCAAGGGGACAGCGCGGCGCGGAAGGGTCGACGGTGGAATCACATGATGGAGTTTCTAATCATAGGGTCAGGGTACGGCGTGCGGCGAATAAACACCCACATTTCCAGCAATATAACTACCAAGTGCAAGTGGCGGAAAATCAGCCATCGGGGACCTCCGTGATGGTCATGGCGGCTTCCGACCCGGACCCCGGAGACGCAGGGAAAGTTACCTATAGCATGGCGCCCCTAATGAACAGCCGGTCATCTGACTACTTCGCCATCCATTCAGAATCAGGGCTTCATTACCACGACGCAGGTTTTAGATCGAGAACACATGGATTTGCACTACTTTCGTATCACCGCGACCGATTTTGGGATGCCGAGGCTCTCCGGGACGACCATGGTAGCGATAACCGTAGCAGACCGCAATGACCACTCTCCGATCTTTGAGCAAAACGAATACAGGGAGACGATACGGGAGAATGTAGAGGAGGGGTATCCGATTTTGCAGCTAAGAGCAACGGATAAGGACTCCCCTGCAAACGCTAACATACGATATCGTTTTGTGGGAGAGTCTGCAGCGATGGCAAGAGCTGCTTTTGAAATTGACCCACGCTCCGGGCTTATTACAACTCGAGGCGCAGTAGACAGAGAAACAAGTGAACATTATACTCTTGAAGTCGAAGCAAGCGACCAAGGAAAGGAGCCCAGCCCTCTCTCCTCCACAGTCAAGGTCTATATTTCTGTTTTGGATGAAAACGACAACGTTCCTCAGTTCAGTGAGAAGCGTTACGTGGTGGCGGTAAAAGAAGACGTCCGGCCACATTCTGAAATCCTCAAAGTCAGCGCCACAGATCGGGACAAAGATAGCAACGCCGCTGTTCACTATAACATCATCAGCGGGAACAGTCGAGGACAGTTTTCCATCGATAGCGTTACAGGTGAAATCCAAGTCGTAGCGCCTCTGGATTACGAATCGGAAAGGGAATACACTTTGAGGGTCCGCGCCCAAGACAACGGACGCCCTCCCCTTTCGAACAATACCGGGATAGTTAGCGTGCAAGTCACAGATGTTAACGATAATCCGCCTATATTTGTGTCGACTCCGTTCCAGGCGTCGGTGCTGGAAAGTTCCCCGATCGGAAGTTCAATTCTTCACATCCAAGCCATAGATACGGACTCGGGAGACAACGCTAGGCTAGAGTACAGGCTTACGGGAACCAGCACGGACACACCTTTCGTTATTAACGCCGCGACCGGTTGGGTGACTGTCAAAAGGAATCTCGATCGCGAATCCGTCGAGCATTATTTCTTCGGAGTAGAAGCTAGAGACTACGGCATGCCACCTCTATCGGCGACAGCCAGCGTTACAATTACAGTAATGGACGTTAACGACAATAGACCAGAATTTTTGCAAAAAGAATACTACGCACGGTTAAACGAAGACGCTGTGGTCGGGACGAGCGTCGTGACCGTGACGGCAGTAGATCGCGACGTAAATAGTGCAGTTACGTATCAAATCACGGGTGGTAACACAAGAAACCGTTTCGCAATAAGCACAGCAGGTGGCGCCGGTCTGCTGTCTTTGGCCTTACCTTTGGACTACAAACAAGAAAGACGCTATGTTTTGACGGTGACCGCTTCAGATCGGACTTTACACGATACTTGCCAAGTTCATATCAACATCACAGACGCCAACACTCACAGACCAGTTTTCCAAAGCGCGCATTACTCCGTTAGCGTCAATGAAGATCGGCCTCCTGGTAGCACGGTTGTCGTCATCAGCGCCACGGACGATGACGTTGGCGAGAACGCAAGGATCACCTATTACCTTGAGGACAATATACCTCAATTCCGAATAGACCCCGCCACAGGTGCCATCACGCTCCAAGCCGAACTAGATTATGAAGATCAAATGACATACACGCTTGCTATTACGGCGAAAGACAACGGGATCCCGCAAAAATCTGACACTACTTACGTCGAGGTCAATGTCAACGACGTTAATGACAATGCGCCTCAATTCTTAAGTCCACGATATCAAGGGACAGTTACAGAGGACGCGCCGCCGTTCACGAGCGTGCTTCAGATTTCCGCAACAGATCGAGATGCGCATGCAAACGGGAGAGTCCAGTACACTTTCCAAAACGGAGAAGACGGAGACGGCGACTTTCACAATTGAACCCACTTCCGGTATTGTCCGAACTGTGCGACGCTTGGACAGAGAAAGCGTTCCGTTTTACGAACTCACTGCGTACGCCGTAGATCGCGGGGTCCCTCCTCAACGCACCCCTGTTCACATCCAAGTAACTGTTCTGGACGTCAACGACAACGCTCCTGTCTTTCCCGCCGACGATTTTGAAGTTTTGGTGAAAGAAAACAGCGCGGTCGGTTCTGTCGTTGCGCAAATCACTGCCACGGACCCAGACGAAGGCGCAAACGCTCAAATCATGTACCAAATTGTGGAAGGCAACATCCCCGAAATCTTTCAAATGGATATTTTCTCTGGCGAGCTCACCTCCCTCATCGACTTGGATTACGAGACCAAAAACGAATACGTCATCGTCGTCCAAGCCACCTCTGCTCCTCTCGTGAGCAGAGCCACCGTTCGCATCAAACTAGTCGACCAAAACGACAACTACCCGACTTTGCAGAACTTCCAGATCATCTTCAACAACTTCGTCTCGAACCGCTCCAACAGCTTTCCAACCGGAGTGATCGGGAGAGTCCCAGCCCACGATCCTGATGTTTCGGACAGGCTTTTCTTCACCATCAACACTGGGAATGAGTTGCATCTGCTGCATCTGAACCAAACGAGTGGGGAGATCCGACTGAGCAGGAATCTGTACAACAACCGACCGCTGGTGGCTCCGATGATGATCACAGTCACAGGTAAGATGGATGAAGTACCCAGTTTTGTTACTTAAGTAAAAGTACAGATACAAAGGTAAAGTTATTCAAGTAAAAGGATCACATGAAAAAATCTACTATTAAAGTACCTCTTTAAAAATGTACTGCAAGAGTAAAAATTTAAAGTATTTTCCTGAGTTTTTTTTTTATAAACAATTAAAGGATGAAATGTAGTGATTTTGAAAAGGAATTTAGCACATTTTAAGTGATTCAATTGACTTAATTTTTCTAGCCACTTTTGTGCATTTGATTTTCTTAAAGTTCGGACATTAAACTCAAATTAAATGTGCTGAAAAAAATAAAGTCTCCGCCATTTCAGCAGGTCTCACAACATAAAGAAAAGGACTTTTTACTTTTCAGTCCAGATTTAAAATGCAGTAAAAAAGGAAGACGTTCTCAAATGTAGTGACGCAAAAGTAAAAAGTATCCACAGATATGTATAAGTCGTACTTGAATATTGTACTTTTACTTTTGTACTTGATAACCTTCCACCACTGGGTAAGAGCGGAGTGAGGGATGTGTGAGTGATGAATGGGTCTGTTCCATTTGCCTGAAGGACTTACTGAAGTGTGACAGATACAGTGAAATGCAAGGATGTAATGTCAGTGGAGGGGAAATGGGTCTGAGTGCTTTTGGGAATATTTCTTGTCATTTCTGTGTCATAGAGGAGGATTCTGCCTCTGTTTTGTTGAGATTTAGAGTTTTTGTTTTTTTTTTAGATTACATTACATTTGTCTACTTGTTGTATTTTTGTGATTTTAGATTTTAAAAGTCATGGATGTCAGGATTAAAGATATGATTTTAGTTTTCTTCAGCCGGCCAAGTCAAAAACTGATAAAAGAGAAAAACCTTAATATTAACATATCATTGATCTTAATGACTTGTCTTGCAGTTCGAGTCTGGAGCAAAATCTCTTCTTCCGTTTTCATTAGTTGATTACGTGAGTCAACCCAAACTCAAATACTTCAAGTCAGTATTATCAGAAATTAACACTTCTTCTTATGTACACGTATGCCGTTCTTACGCCCAAATTTTCTTAGTTCTTTGTTTTATTTTTTAATTTGTATTTATTTTTTTTACTTCATTACTTCCAGATTTATTCCCCATTTTGAGTTAGAAATGTTGCCAAGATCATTCAGCTGATGTTACTTAAAATAATTTAACTGTCGCTAAAAAGTAATATACAAACCGCTGGTGGTTCAGGCATCCATTACCTGCGACTGCCACTACTGCTAATTGAGCTGTAATTATAGACTAATTGCTTTGTCTCTGACGGAGTGTGAGGCAATTTAACGTGGCGTTGCAGACACTAAACAAAAGAGAGTCGAGTAACAGGTGTGAGGCCCCCAACTAGGTACTCTTAACCATCAGGATCCTTGTGTTGGCGACTGGCATTGAAGAACGGGAGCTCAATAGTAAAGCAAACCCACAACGTCCATAACTAAATTTCTCATTAATTTTTCTCTTAGACTTTAAAAAAAAAAGAGTTGAAAAGCTTCCTTGGGCATCAACTATGTGTTAACTAATGACCACGAGACCTTTAATTTCACTTAAAAGTATGTTTCTGAAACTGCTACGTTCTTGCGTTTTTAAACTTTTTAAGCTTTTTAGACTTGAAACAGCTGCATTATGGATAGTTTTTACCACTTATTTTCTATTTGCTTAGCCTTCGCAATATTACATTTTTGCAAACTCTATTGGAAAAATGAATGGAAAATATAGGTCTGGCATAGAAGATTTCCTATACTGGCAACATAAATATATTTTTATGATTTGTGGGTTTTCGTGTGTCCATGAGACATGTTTTTCAATTGACAAAAGGCATTTCATAAACACTTTTTTTTTCTTTTGCTTTAATTTTACAACAACCACCTCCTAAGCCACACGTGTCAAACATAAGGCCCGGGGGCCAGATCTGGCCCTCCAAGACCTTTAATCTGGCCCTCGGTTGATTTTCTACTAAAATATTTTAATTATATTTTCTATTAAAATCTTGTTAATTTTCTGTGGTGTTTATCACAGCAGCGTCTCCAGCGTCTCTGTACGTGGCCCCTCCCACCAGAGCAGCACAAATGAAGACTTGTCTCTTTCCAAACGCTCTTAAAGGACGATCGTTTTGACTGTTGATCGTGACACCCTCATCAGAAAAATGTCCAACATGAGAAAAGTGGAGCCGAGTGCAGGATTTAAAAAAAAAAAAAGACTTATTCCTTTACATCCTTTACATTTCCATACAAGTTCATGTTAAAACTTTGTGTTGAAATTGCATTTTTCTTAAAGTTTCAGGTTGTCATAATATTATAATATTTAGTAAAAGAAAGAGTTCATCAATTAAAAAAGATTTCTGTAATAGATTTGTGTTTCTCTGCACAAATATTTGAACTTATTGTTATTTTTGGGGTTTATATGACATGAGTTTTCTGATCCGGCCCCTTTGGGATCAAAGTCGGTTGGATACGGCCCCCGGACCAAAATGAGTTTGACACCCCTGCCCTAAGCCATACTGTATTTAAATTATTTCAATCTAGTAAAAGTAAATAATTAAATTAAAAAGCTGTTATTAACTAAAGAACAACTGTGATGATGCTGCCTTTGACAAGAGTGAAAAAGACTGCATTTTCTGTGTGGATAAAGGGAGCTAGTATAACATGACTAATGGTGGTAATTGTGATGATTGTAGGACTCAGCACTTCAGCCCTTTGTGAAGAATGGTTTAATGGCCAATAGAAAACCAAGGATGAAGAACACGTAGATTACAGTTCGGTCAAAGGCCAAAAGAAGCATTTAAGGGCGAGTAATTTCATTTTCCATGCAGTATTGATTCTACCTGTAAATATATTTTCAATAGTCATCTTGGGGCTTATAATCTAGAGGTTCAATCAGTTCAAACTGTGACATCTTAAAGGGCCCATATTACACTATTTTCTAATATATGTTATAATATTGTTTCCTTATCACAGACAGACCTGGAGTTGTGTTTGTTTCATTCGCACATCTTTATTACACAAACCCTACATATTTAGGCTGAGTTCTTCTCTCTAACAGAAAACACTCTGTTCCACTGTGTGATGTCATATTGTAATACAGGAAGTGCTCCAGTGGTAGCTGTTAATGACCACTCCATGACATCACAAGGTGGAACATAGCATTTGAGCTTTTGAGATTCAGACAGACTAATAACAAAGTATTACTGTATTTTTCGGACTACAGTGATCCCTGCTAATCGCGCTTCACCTATCGCGGCCTCGCTGCTTCGCGGAATTTTTTACAGTGCTTTATTTTTTACAGTGAATCCTGATTGCTTAGGGGCGTTACTGTTGTCTAGAAGTGAAAAAGGTTTATATTGGTTTTTCATTACACCCATGCCAACAGTTTTCGTTTCTGTACATTCTGCCAAATTTACGTTCGCAATTTTTCTCCGTGACAAAACCCACAATGTCAAAGAAACGTTCTGTGCCGACAAAGAGGCCTCCAGACGCGCCAAAGAGGCCGCGGAAGATGCTAACTATTGCCAACAACTACCCATAACGATGTTCTTCTCTCGGAGAAAGACCCCTGCGCAGCCTTCAGTAGAAAAAGACGCTACAGCGCAACGGAGTCAGGACGAAGAGGCGCAGCTGGAGGGACTGTGAAATACGCGAGTGACAATGTTTCCTACCTTGTATTCATTACTATATAAAAATATTGTTTTACAACACCGTTCTTTAAACTATTATAGTTATTTTGTAAGAAAACGTTAATATTTCTATTTCTTTAACACATGTTGGGCCTGAAAAGAGGTTTTATTTTTTGTTTCATTCTGCAGTTCAGTATTGCATTGTAAAATCACAGTAAAAATAAAGCTGACTACTTTGCGGATTTCACCTATTGCGGGTATTTTTGGAACGTATCCCCCGCGATAAACGAGGTTCACTGTATGTGTTGTGCCAGAGTGTAAGTTGCACCAGCTAAAAATGTGTAATGACGAAGAAAAAAACATGTATAGTTGCACTTTTTGGGGGAAATTTATTTTGTAAAATCAGAACCGACATCAGGGACCGACATTTTATCTTTCAGGCAAGTTATAGTAATAACAATAGAAGAGAGAACAACAGACTGTTAACGTCACATATGAACAGTTCTTCAGATAAACTATAACATAAACAACAGAACAGAACAAGTTTAACAAACTCTCCGTCTCACTCCAGATCCCTAAATTCATTGAATTCTTTATCCTCGGTGTCACTTCTGAGCAACTCCGTGACTTCCGGAGGTAAACAGAGCGCCACTTCCTCTTCTGTGTAGCTGTCGTCAGACTCAGCATCAGTTCCAGTTAGAATTATTCTGACCTTTCTGAATCCCGACAGGATGGTTTCGGTGTCATTGAAGTCACTTAAATTTTCAATTTTCAGTGGTACAGAAGTAATGGTGCAGTTGATCGACATGATACAGGACAGTGGCTCTTTCTACAGGAGACATGCGCAGGAGAGTGCAATGTGACCATGGAACAGAAGTAATGGTAGTAGCATACTACTGGCACACAAGTCTAGAGCGCCCCCTCGAGGCTGTCAGTGTGAAAATGTTAATATACAAGTGGCACCAGAGAATAAGTCACAAGACCCAAACCATGAAAAAAACTGCGACTTATAGTCTAAAAAATACAGTTCTCAAACATGTGAATGAAACAAAACTCAACTCCAGGTCTGTTTTTGATGAGGTAACGACATTCTAACCTGACGTTAAGTTCACAGGAGTCAATTCTGTGTAATACAGGACCTTTAAACCCTGGTCTAGTTACCTGTGTAGTTACCAGTGTCGTGCCTCACTCCATTTGTTCATGAGTGATCCATGATAGAACAGGTTTCGAAGTCGTCTGGGCAATGTCTGGTTTGAAGAGCTAGAATTTTTCAAGTAGACCAGTACCTGAAGCAGACTGAAAATTACTTCTGAATAGCCAATCACGTTTTTTATAGTTTATAGTTTTTTGATCTTCAGTTTGACCA